TCTTTTCTTTTCTTTAGATAGTTGATGTAGTCTGTTAAGTCGCAGTCTAGGTAATAGATCGTCCTGTCTATTTGAATTTTACGTGTCATCCAATCGAAATCGGTCATAATACTTTGAAGATGCTCATCATTTTCAGCTATTAAAGCATGATAAATAAGATTAGGATAGAAATAGCCATCATCAGGGAAGGTATTCCACTTTCCATCGCACTGCTTACGGTAACCATCGATCAACGTTTTGTTTAAACTCTTGCGATAATCTTGATTGGAATTGTGCGAGTAGAGTCGTTGCTGTAGATAGTCGACCATCAAATCGTGTAGAACACAGTGCGATCTTGACAAAGTAAGGGAAATCAATGGGATTAATACTATTTACAGTAGTCAATACAAGGCTATCGATTGTAGCACTGCATTGAGAATTGATACAATTATAGCGTATGTAAAACTATGCATTGAATAGCACTGGCTCGATTATTGAGAAGAACATATTGGGTAGTCATTGCAGATGAATTGGATTACAGAATCAAATTACTTTAGACGATAGCAAATCATAATTTACTATCAAACTAAACAGTAGCTAATAGAAAAGATTAATTAAATAAAAGTAGTTATTGGCTAGTTATCACTAAAAGAGAAAGAGAGCCTTATGGAAGAGGGTTAGAATTCAATTTACTGTGTAGAATATTGTGTGCAATGTGCAGTGTGTATACAAGGCTTGCTTTGTAGACATACTTTCGTAGATCGCTTGAAGATGGAAGAGGAAAATAGCAAATGCCGATTGACTACGTTAGGTAAGACAATTTATACTTCACAATATAATATTTGTATTATTAATGATGGAAGTGAAAGCGTCACAACTTCAAATTTTACTAGTAACCTTAATATGGTGATAATGTTGATTTAGTAGATAAAAAAGGCGACAAAACTAATAGCGCAATATTATCAACCTACAACTAACGATTGATAGATATTCTTATTCTGTACAGTATTTGCAGAATTAATATAGCAGCCTATGTACAGTCGTCAAAACATAGAATAGGCAATCATCGTAACTAGTATGACCTTTTTATAAATCGTGATAGAACCCAAATATATTAACAAGTAGATAAAAAGTATTATGTTCTGTATGTTACAGATTGCATATATCCTAGCTTATTGCACTTGTATTCCAATAACTAAATATATCTACAAGTTACACTAGTTCAATCTGTTCATTCCATACCTATAAGGCATTGCAAAATTACTCCATTAACTTAACTTGGGCATACAGTATTCTAACCAAAATTAACATAAAGCAGATATATGATAGCTTATTCGACATGCAAGTACTGTACAGTCACAATCCATTTAAAATACTTATCAATCTGTTCATTCTATATCTATCACTATATATGCCTACAAGGACACACTAGGTCATGCTTTGAATATTAAAATATAAAGCATTGCAAAATTGGACATCACTCAATTAACTTAACTTGGATATGCACTATTCTACTCTACCCCAAAATTAAAAATAATTGGTGTTCAAACATGATTGATGCTCTAAATGTATAGCAATTTACTTTGTGTCTATTTCAATACATTCTACGAACCGAAATCTGATTAAACTTACTTTTCTTTATCATATGTAAGTAATGATTTGTTATGCATTTTCTTTACGAGATTCCGAGCTTCGATTTCATCGTAGTTCCATAACGATGCAACAGATTGAATAGGAATACCGACTCGCTTAAATACAGCTAGTTGCTCAAATAATGGTCTAATCTCATCATTTAAAGTATCAACACTTAATTGTAAAGTCCCGTATAGATTGAAACCGTAATGAGCTAATTCAATATC